CAGATGCCCCAACATTGCAGAAGAATCTTGGGTCACCAGCCAACCACCTGTCTCTATCATTTCTATAGTTTTGTCAGTTGTTTACTGTGCATGTCCTATTTACTCAGGTTGTTTTTTATCTTTCCTGGGTTTCTGATGTGGGTTGAAGACTAAATAGTTATATCATTTTCTTTGTTGCCAAATTCAGAAAAGAAACTCACAAAAGAGATGTAAAGTTTATAAAGCTGAGAGACATAAAAGTTTAACTTGTCCATCTAAGAAATGCTTTAATATCTAAAAGGATATTTTAGATTGATAATATAAGTTATGATAGAAATTGGTTTAGATATAAAATGTTAGATTCATCGAGATAGAATTAATAATAGAGTACTGTTTCCAAATTTGCCAATACAAATGAACTGACACTGTGAATGGAATTCTTACTTGATAATTGTTCTTTTTGTATATAGTTTTACTTTGTTGGAGTTAAAAACCTTTCCTTTTTATTTAGAGAATATCTGACAATTGTTCTCATGTATAAAGTTTTACTGTGTTTGAGTCAAAACCTTTTCTTTTTATTTTGACAAAATGGGAAATGTGGAATATTTGATCACATTGGCATTCTGAGACTGTTAATAAATTCAGTCTTGGATCAAGAGGTAGAATTATTGACTAGCTGACCAGAATTAGCCATAGAGAGCCAGGACTATGGATAAAGAGACACGCAGGAAAGAGAAGGGAGGGACTTGGATTTTTCATGGTCTTATTCAATCTGGGAAGGGTGGAAAGAAAGTCAGTTGGTTCTTCTCTGCTGCTTTCTTGATCTATCAGTTTTTCCATCAATATCTGACTCCAGAGTTTTGACTGATAATAGGACAACTTAGATAAACACAGCGGTAGAGCAGGCTGACCTTTAATTCACAGAGATCCTCATGCCTCTACCTCTTGAGTAGTGGGATTAGAGGTGTGTGCTACCTCTGCTTGGCAATTTTAATGGTATTTATTCCTTCAGCTTCACTTGTTCAGTTCTGAAAACACCAGCAAGAACCAAATACTATCAGTGACTTGGGGAGTTCTAGGTGGTCCTCCATTACAGTACCATGGCCTGAGGGCAGTCACAGCTGGCATGGGGCCTCTTGAGTTGCTCTTTGACCCTCCCTTTCTTCTTCACATAGCCACAGATTTCATTTCCACAGTGAGCCTTTGGCACTCAACCTTCTTCAGTGCCAATTTAGAAAAGAAAGAGTTTACTTGGGACTTGCAGTTTCAGAGGGTAGAGTACATAACCATCATTTGCAGGAAGCAGGGTAGCAGGCAGGCGGTCATGGTGCTGCAGCAGTAGCTGAAAGCTTACACACTGAGACATAACCAAAAGATAGAGAGGCACTAGGAATGGTGCAAGTCTGTGGAACCTCAAAGCCTACCTCCAAGCAATACATCTCATGCAACAAGGCCACGTATCTGAATCTTTCCCAAACAGTTCTACCAACTGGGGAATCAAGTAGTCAAATGTACGAGCCTATGAAGTCCACTCTTGACCAAATCACCATAGCAACTGAGATTAACCATCACACTGAGCCAACAACCTACTGTGCTACTATTGTTTGTATTCATAATCACTGCTGGGATTTTACTGAAATTAGCTGAACAATTTGATTTCCACAGAAATCTATGCACAGATGTTAATGGCAGCGTTTATTCACGGAAGGAATCAAAATGTCCTTCAGTTGGGCACTGACGAAACAAACTGTGATGCTTTTAGGTAAGGAAGTATTCATCACATGTAAAAAGTGAGATACCAACCCAGAGAAATACACTATGAAGTTAAAGAACAGTAGTTTTGCATGCACACATTCTAACAGGCATCATTTTTGCTCACTGTTCTAAGCTATTTTCAAAACACAGGTAGCTATTGTACAATCTCCCTAGTTCTTAATGTAACTTCCCTATTAGATTTTCCATTTATAGGAGGGGAAGTCAAGACTGACAGAAGATAAGTAACTTATTCAAGGTTCTTTTTATGACATAGCTAAGAAATAAGACATTCCCATATTCGGGAAGTCTGTTTTCAGTGCTTGAGAGACATACCTATGTTCTAGACACAATGATTGTTGAATGGGATCTCCCAGGAAGATGTCTTTCTTTTACACAGATGATCTCCTCAGTAATTTCCTTTTAGCTTTGTATCTTTTTTCTGATGGTGCCACCCTCATGCACTTCTTGAACATAATAATGGGAATCTGGCAGAGGGAGCACCACCCTCCTTCAGCAAATCTTACCAGCGTTTGTCAATTTAGACCACAAAACTCAATATGGATAAATTCAACAGAACTGCCATATGTGGGCTGCCCTTGTATGCTTAAAAAACAGCACCATCCACTTTGCCTTTTTGTAGTGGTTTCTACACTGTGCCCCAAAGCTGACTTTGAGAATGGTGGTCGCTCAGTGATAGCCATTGAGTATGAGGGTAAGCACCATTATTTAATATGATGGAACCAGCAATCAACTGTGTTTAGTAACTAGCATAGGGCCAAATATTTGATAATTGAGTTTTTAATAATGCTGTAACTGTAAAAGTATTGCTTTATCTTAGCCTTCTACTGTGAAACATTTTTCAGGATATATTTATTTTATTTTGCTTCTATTTGCTAAAAGTTCCCATTGTAAAGACAGGAACTGGAAACCTACAATCATCGTTTGACACTAACTTCATAAAATTAAGACACAAATTCATTGACTAGTTAAATGTATCATGTAAATGATCATGACTAGTACTTTCCCCATACTAGAGAAAATTATTTTTTTTTACTATGTTTGATTTTTACAGTAACTCTGCCATATGTATGGAGGAACATCCTAGGGCCATTTTCCCCGTGGGCTACATCATTTCCACCTCGCCTTGATCTCTGCCAATTCCTCCTGGGCCCCCTACTCCCTCTCAAATTCTTGACCTCTTCTTTATTATTGTTACATACATGTGAATGTGTACATATGAATACTGCCTGCTTAATCTACTTATTGTTGCTCATATGCGCATGGGCGTAGGGCTGGCCACTTGGGATTGAATCCCCTATCGAGGAGGCACATCCCTTTCTCCCTCGCTCAGCATCCATTGATTGTTTATAGCTCTTTGTCTAGGTGTGGGGCCTGTGAAGCTTCGCCCTTTAAACCGGCATGCCAGCTGGTGGTGTTCTTGTGCAGGTCTTGCTTAGGCAGCCATATTGTTGAGATTCTTGGGGAATTTTGCTTCTTTTCTATTCCCACTGTTTTCCTATTGGTTTTATGACTATGAGTAACACAGGCACAGGCCCAGGACTTGGATGTCCTTAGACATTTTACTGCATTCCAGCGTACATGTTATGGCTGAAGGTAGTGGAAAGTCTGGCTTCTTCTGTTCCTGAGGTTTCTACCTGAATCAGATCATTATGTAATACTTCATATCTCACATAGTATATGAAACTCCAGATGTAATTACGGAGTTGATATAGAATGGCTAATTGTTTTGAGGGTTAAACGAAATAAGTATTTACAGCAGGGGTTCTCAGCCTTCCTAATGCTGTGATCCTTTAATTCAGTCCCTCATGTTGTGGTGACCCCCAATCACAAATTATTTTCATAGCTACTTCATAATTGTACTTTTGATACTTTTATTAGCTGTAATGTAAATATCTGTGCTTTTTGATGGTCTTAGGTGACCCCTGTGGAAGGGCTGATCAAGCCCCAATCTATGGTCACAGTGTGTAGATTGAGAATCACTGGTTTAAAGCATTAATACAACTACTAACACAGCTAGCTTCCATTGTATAGTAACTACTGTCACACAGTGCCCTGTACAGAGGAAAAATTAAATCGGACAGATATGAAATAGGACCTTCTTAAATTCCCTCCATTTATTTTTATATGTTCTAAAATTATTAACTATGGCTTTGATAATCACACAGTCCATACATGGACAATTGTTGCCTACATTTTCAGGATATTTTAAAGAATTACTAAGTCTGAAATGTGTGCTTGACAGAGAAAAATACTTTGAAAAATTGAAAATGGAAACACAGGTAAGATGGAAATTTATAAAGTGAGGTGCCAATAAAACAAGAAGCAAGCAGATGTGGTTGAATCTAGGTTTTGTTCAGCACTGGCTCCGAGCAGTTGGAAGCTCGCACTCCCTTGAACTAGATCCGACGATCTGAAGCTGGGAGATGGCTGAGCTTTGAGTCTCGTCACTGACTTTGTTCTACTGGGCATGTGTAGGGGATGGGAAAGGGAGACAAATCCGGTCAGCTCCATCCAACAGACGTCTCCCGTGAGCTGAATAAGCCGTTTAGTCGTCTAGCAACTATGTCTGACAAACTGTGACATTACCGTATTTGACTCCACATTGCCAAAATATTGCCATTTCCATATGAGGTCACAAACTTTATATTTTTGAAGTGCTTTAAGCTGGGTATACTCTGGACATACCACACATCACCGCTGAGAAACTACGTTTTCATTGGAAGGGTTTAGTACTTGATTTTATTAAAAAATAGACTCATAAATCCCAGTATGCTCAAATACACTTCCCAGTTTTCCAATCCCCAGTTGAGCATCGGGTTTCAAGGGTAAATTGGAAATAATGGAAAACAAAGGAAATTAAAAACTCACAGTGGCTCATCACACCCGGGCACATTTCAGGTGCTCCATGGGTCTTGAGGTTGAGGTTGCTCTTTAGGATGGCAGGGGTTCACAGCCCTAAGCAGAGTTCAGGATGGATCTGCTTGTGCCCTGAACATTTCTCAAGGCAATTTGCCGTTAACGTTTTAAAATTATTATTTCTGGCTGAAAGAATAGCTAGCTATCTTCCACTGGCCACGCCATGTTTTCAGAGGTCTGCCTTATGGCCTGAGGTTTGTGACACCTAGAGAGCTGGCAGACAGCTCTTGCAAACATGGTCAGTTCAACCACCCTCTTCGCTGACCTCCATCACCGCAGTGTCAAGCCCTGGAGATGTTGGTGAAACCAAAACTTTGACCAATACACACCTTCGGAGTCATTTCATGACTCAACAGCTGTTTGGTTCAATCCAAGTTCTTGTGGAAGTGTTAGACTGGCTGGGAGAGCAGGGAGGGCTGATTGGAAAGCTCGTCCCTAGAAAGGTGCTCTGTGTGGGGGAATCCAGTTTCTTTAACGTGATGGACTCTTGTCTGAGTGCCTAGACACATTAGAGACCGAGGAATCAATTAGTGAAACCCTCTAGCAGTTTAAGTTTTAAAGAAAACAGATTGAATGACAAGAATAGCATCAAAGACGAGGCAACTTAACTTCATGGAGTTCTGCTTTCAGTTTTGTGGGCATTTACCATTTTCACCAGGTCACGTCCAAAGGGACTTTGTATTACAGACTATTTAATATTAGTGTCAATATTCATATTGTAGCATAATGCATCACCTTATTAGCTTATTCATGGCCTGTTGAATATTAATTATGGGATTATTTGGAAACATAACAGCCCAGGGAAAAGGATCACAAAGCCCTGCTTTCAATTACAGAATTTGCTGCCTGAGGACTAGGCAAACTGAAGGGGAGAATGCGGACAAGAGGCTCATCGGCTCCATCCTCTAACTTGGTTCCTTTCTCACAGCAGCAGTGTTCTATTTTCTCTAGCAAACGAAATAAGTGTGACGTTGGTGGTATGGTCTTGAGGAAACTAGCACAGAGAGATTAGATCAAAAGTCTAAGAAAAATGAGTGTCCGGCTGGGTTGCCGGTAGCTGCCGGCTACCTGTCCACAGCACAGTGGGCATATGGTAGCAGTTCTGCCCTCATGGTTGCCTGGTGTGTCTTATTTCTTCTTATGTCTGTAACACGAACCACAGACCGTCCTTTTTTATTGTGCCTCCTTTGCAGTAACTACTATCTTGAGCTAGCCTACTAACGCTGTAGCGGGTGTGACGCATTTTAGCATGTAAACAGAGGCTCTGGTGGGAGATGTTCCTGGGGATTAGGTAAGAGCAACTCTGTGCAACAATTTTAAATTGGAGAGAACCTGGCATATTTGCTGTGAGTCTGGAGAAAACTGAGAGGTTCTCACCCTTGCTCCCAGGAGCCTCACAGTCTTTCCAAACTCTCAAAGCTGTCAGTGGGTCAAAGGCTATGATGAATGTGGCCACGTACTTTGTTTATTACAAATGGTATTTATGATGGGTGGGTATGATCAAAAGACATTGCATAAGTGTTTGAAATTTGCAAAGAATAAAGATATTATTAAAAACTAATGATATTTTGTTCAACTAAATAAGCAAACTACAATAAAAACCAAGCTTTTGTTTACCTCTGATAGAGTCCAGTGGTTTGATTTCACGAAGTGTTGGGAGTGAAGGCCATCAATTCATGAATGTGTTAGCCAAAAGTCAACTTCAGAATCCTGCCTATTGTTTGCAGATTCCCCCAAATCTAAGGCTGAGGACGCTCTGCTAGCAAGCTTTCTCCTTTGTCTTCTTTCCGTATGCTATCTGGACAACAAAATCTGCTTCCATGGTGAAACTGGAGGGCGTTAGCCAGAATCCAACTTGAAATTATGGTTGAGACAGCTAGGGGAGACAAGTTCTTCCTCTCAGAAGGTTAAAACATGGTAAAGCAGCTTTGGATTTGGGACAGTCATGGCCGTGGCCGTGACTGTGGTCACTCAACCTTTCAATGGTATCTCCAAGAAGAAGCTGACTAAGTCGCCAGGAATGTTGGCTTCCATCTCCTCTTATCTTCAAAGGCTCCTACACCAAGAATTTCCACCCCAAATTTTGGTATTCTTGTAAACATCTCATCTTTGTCTGCCCTTTGCCTTGGTAACTTGGAACACATCAATCTCACGAAACATCAAGGGGAAAGTCGATTACTTTCTGCCCAGAACTGTGTTGGAAAGCAGCTTGCTCCCTCAGACGGCAACGTGATTCACATAACAGTTTGATAAAACTTGTCTTGAGGATACTTCAGAAGGACTGTGACCTTGAAAACCATCAAAGTGGCTTGGCTGAGACATGCTCACACATGTCATTACTTGTTTCTGCTTATGACCACGACTGGGTTGGCCACTCTTTCTTAATTCGAGTCCCCAGTGTTGAAAGTTTAACACTTTCTCGGAAAGGTCAGAAGTTTTCATTCTTTCTGGACCAGTAGGAGCAAGGATTTAAAACAGAGATCTGTTTTGGTGAAGGGTGGAAAACAGGAAAAACAAAGGGCCTCATCAAGAGCTGAGGGGGGTGCTGCTACAGGAGTGACCTCTGAGATGAGAATGCCAGATGTCCCCTTCATTTTGGTGCCAACCATTTCTACCCATGGCACAGAACAGTCTCTGCGGCAAGCCGTCTTTTCGGCTTCTTACGTTGCTTGTCTACCTTTGTTTCTGAGGATAGTATAATAAGTCAGAGAGAAATCTCATTCAAATGATTTCTCAAAACCTTCACTCAAGCCAAATGTAGTGATGTATTGGCAATCCTAGCACCTGGGAGGCTCTAACACAGGAGCGTGAGTTTGAGGCCACTGGAGTAACATTGGTCTCAACCTTGTATTAAGTTCCACCCCGGGAAAACAGCTTCTTCCTACCAACTTTGCTTTCCAAAGTACAAAAGATTCTTTCAAGCAAGAATGTGCATTTCCATTTCATATTTTAATACATCTTCTACCTTAGAAAGCAAGACTACATTACTTCTCCTTTTATGAAAAAAAAATTGAATCAACAACAGGTATGAATGTTCCAGTTGGTCTTATTTGGGCTAACTGAATACAAAGCTTGAACTATCTAACAGGGGAAATAAGACTCTGCCCTGGACAGGAGAGGCAGCTCAGTGCATAGCGCCTCTCAGCATGAGGTCCTGGACCCCCATCTCCATCATTGCAAGAAGAATAAGAACCTTTTTAATTATACATGATAGCTGGGCAGATTGTGATTAGTGTGTAGGAAGCCTTTTATTTATTTTGAGACAGGGTCTGTGTTGCCCAGGTTGGCTGCAATGTCTCTGTCCTTCAGTTTCCAACCCCAGTTATTGGATTACAGCCGTGTCTGCCTCCCAGCCAGCTCATTCTTTTAAGCCCAGTTCAGATTTATTGTGAAAGGTGACATATTCCTCACGTTTTCTCATGCATGTGTGTGGTGTTCTTCATTTCTCCTCACTCTCAGTACCACTGACCACGCCCTCTTCTCACTGGTCCTCTTCTTCCTCCCAAATAAACCCTCCCACCGATTTTAAGGCTTTCAAGTCCACGTTCTGCACACTCTGTCTGTCTGGGCCTGGCTTCTTTCATTTAACACAATTGCCTCCATCCAGTCCCTCCATTTTCCCACAAATGTCATAATTTCACCTTCCTTTATGGCCAAATTGTGATCCATTGATTAAATATACTCCACATTCTTCCTCCAGTCCTCTGTTAATGGCTATCTAGGCTGACTGCATAACTTGCTCTTGTGATGAATACGGAACAATCAGTGTCTCCATGGAATACTGTCTTCGTTTCCTTTGGGTATGGACCCAGGAATGGTATCCTTGGATCTTAATGGATTTCTAATTTTAGTTTTCTCAAGAACATCCACACTCTATAGATGCTGATCTAGTTTACATATTTACAGTGGTGTATAATGGTGTTTCCTGTATCCTCAATGACATCTGTTGTTTGGTTTCTTTCTCCCTCTCTACCTTTCTTCCTTCCTCCCTCCCTCCCTCCTTCCCTCCCTCCCTCCCTCCCTCCCTCCCTCCCTCCCTTCTTTCCTCCTTTCTTTCTTTCTTTCTTTCTTTCTTTCTTTCTTTCTTTCTTTCTTTCTTTAATGGGATCTAGTTTATTTACAGAAAACTTTTTTAACTCTTATTGTTGTTTGGTTTCTTAATAAGAGTTCCTCTGTCTATGATAAAATGGAACCTTCATTTAATTTTATTTGCATTTTTTCTGATGACTCAGGATGCCAGTTCTCAAATTCTTAAGTGTGTTCATTATTATCATGGGATATATTGGCTATGGTGTATATGTAATAATGCTGAGTCATCTGACCTCTATTATTTTTCTATTGTGCAAAAGATAGGTAAAACTTAAATGACATAATTGGACTAGTCTTTGGATTGATGCCCTCCCCTCCTTTATGAGCATTTACCACTGTGAATAAAGTACACAGAAGTTTTGTGTTCGTTGTAGACTTGCACACCGGCTCTCTGTGCTAAGTGGTGTCTGAAGACTGTATGCCTGCAGTGGGGCTCATAAGCTCAGGCTGACTAGCATGTCAGGAAGTATCAGAAACATCATTGCTGGAATGCTCTGGATTGCCTTCCATATCCATGTCTCCCTTTTCCTCCCTCCTGGAGTCATAGCTTTGAGCACATTTTATTTCTTTAATTTTTTAAGCCATCTAAAAAGTAATATGATACTAAGACAACGAATGATGAACTTTCTATGTTCAAAATACAGACCAAGTAGCTTTTATCTAAAATGCCTGGGGAGAGAGGTGAGTTGAGAATTGAGAATATTTGCATCTTTCTAATGCAGTACTTTGGGCATGAGCTCAAATCTAAACCTGAAGTTCATGTATGTTGATGTACAACTTAGACACATTTTATAAAGGGGCCTCAGCTGAGGAATTGTTCCATCTGATTGGGCCAGGGGCATGCCTGTGAGGTTTTATTTCTCGATTTATATTGATGCCGTAGGACTCAGATCACTGTGGCCAATGCTATCCCTGGATAGGTGTTCCTGGGTTGTCTAAGAAAGCAAATTGTACAAGCCAGGAGGAGAAAGACAGCAAGAAGGGTTTCTTCATTATTTCTGGTCTGGTTCTTTCTAGGACTCCTGCTCTGATGTCCCTCAGTGATGGACTCTTACCAGGAAATGTAAGATAAAATAAACCTTTTCCTCCCCCAAGTAGTTGTTTTTGGTTAAGGTGTTTATCACAGCAGCAGAGACAAGCCAGGGCAGAGACTCATTCAGTATTTTCAGCACCTGAGTTGAAGAGAGGCCTTGCAAGGAGGTCAGGTGTAGAATTTCTCCAATGTGGCTTCTTTTGGGCACTTAAAAAGATTCAGAATTGGGAAAATGTTGGATGTTAGACTTCCAGATTACAGCTGTCCAGCCTCGACTGATGGATTTCTGAAATAGAGGTGAATATTTGGAGTTAAAAACCAGGAATCTACGCCCGGCGAAAAGCTGGACTCCTACGTTGAAACTCAGG